AAACATACACGAATTTGCTGAGCTTTTTGTTGAGTTAAAATTCTTCATGTTAGTAGCACAGATCTCATTACCACATATTGGTCACAATATCCTCTTTATAGCTGCAGATATCTCTGGCATAAGTGACTTTTAATTGCCTTTATTCTCCATGGCAAATATGTGAAGGCTGGAGAAGTTTGAAATCGGTGTGCTGCTGATTCTTCCCCTCATTTCTTAAAAGTAGTCTCTAGCTCACAACAATAACAGTATGCATCAAGTATCTGAAAAGGGGACAATTGTGAGCATTTTGCCAATTATTGAAAAAAACCCCTCCAACATACAACCTACTGTTGATTATCTGAAAAATGAAGGTTTGTGTTTCGAGAATAGTTCAGTTCATTTAAGATACTTCTGACCCAGATTTTTACTCTACTGAATTGCTTCAAGTGAGTAATGCACAATCTATTTATAGGATCATTATTAAATTAGCACTTGCATGGTTTAAATCCCCTTGCAGTAGATTCACAAGGGAGACTCAGGCACTCTTGTCACCCAGTGGGAAGCAAGATTGTGTTAATGTTCACAGGACCAGTAGTTTGGACTAGTTTTCCGAAAGCAGTAACTGATTTTGAGACACAGATAGAGCTTGCTGTAAAGTGGAAACTCATCCGACCTTTTCGGACGCCTACTTTTGGTTGAGATGAAAAGTGTCCCTTTTCCACAATTCATTTTCCATGGCTGGCTTATTGAGCACTGTAGGTTTTCAACATTTGCTGTCACTTTATGTAAACCCCACTGCAGGGTACAAATAGGATCTGGGAAGATCATCACTAAGTATTGTGACAGAGTTGCTGTGTTGTGTCTCCAGTTTGACGAAGTTGGCAGTATTTGGTTGTGCCAGGGCATGTTCCAGTGATCATTTTGGTATATGCAGTTTTCTACCTTCTTTCAAATAAATAAGGTAATTGCTATAGCAGTCAACACTACAAACATCAAGGCGATCCAATTGAAAGGTCTGTGAAGACTGCCTCCCTTGGAAATGATAGGAGCTGGGTGTTTAACTTCTCAAAAAAAATTCAGCGAGGAAGACATTTTTTAAAAAGTCTAGCTAAAAGTGTTATTTTCAGATGTAAGCTAAGCATCTTGAAAATTTGCCAACTTTGACTTCAAAGGCAGAACCAAACAAAATTAAAGAGACAGCTGACACACACAGATTTGTCAAGCTAATTTCCGGGGGCAGTAGCCATAAGAAATGGAATTAGGATAGAGTGTAATAGCTCTTCCTTGGTTTTGTTTCCATTCTTCCTTCCACTCTACTTTTACTTATAAGCTGGAGCACGGTTTCAGGCAAGGCTACATTTCATCCATGCTTTGTGGCACTTGATGTCATGGGGTTCCAATCTTAATTAAAGTCTTCTCACTGAATCATCACTTATGAAAGTAATGGTCATACATAAAATACCAGTTTCTGAACAAGATATTTGCTATTCTAGCTTGAACTGTCATTTCAAATCCACTTTTTCTTTTTGTCTTGCTTGTCAATGTCACCTTTAGGTTTAAGTGCATTTTTCCTGCAACTATGAAGTGATTTCAGTGCATTAACACATTTTTCATATGAAACAGCACAAAAACCATATACAGAATAAGTCCCTTAGAAGAAATTACTGTATAGGTCAATATTGCTTTGGAACCTTTTTCAAGGATGTATCTAAACTCTTGAGGAAATGAATTAAAATAATTGTCCTCCAACTCTAACAGGACCCCAACTCTATCAAAAAGAATAAGGTCAGACTCAAGTATCCTGTGTTCCAGTTGCAATTTGAGTGTGCTGACTTATACTTATTTTTATAAATTATAAATATTATAAATATAATTATAAATTTATATGTATAATTATAAAATTTTAAGTTTTATTATTACTGATATTATCATTCATTGAAGTGCTAGAGTTGACACTTCAAATTAAAAATGCTGCTAAACTCAGTAAGAGTAGACAGAAAGGTTGTTAATGTAATGGACATAAACACTTAGAGGCAGCCACTTCTTTGCCATCATTACATCCCTAGACACTTTTATAAGGATGAACAAAAATAGTAATAATACTAGTATTTTAAAAATTAATATTATTGTTATAATAGCCACATTTTTTGATCATAAAATCCATTTCACTAACATAGAAGAACTTAGGGAAATATGTATATTCAAGGACATGTTTCTTTGAGTGCTAGGAAATTTTGAAGTGAAACAGATGAGAAAACAAATGTCAGGATGGATGGAAAACCCCCCATAATCTTCTACAATTCAGCTGCTTCACCATTGTCAAGTATGTATTCAGAGACATCAGATATTTGTTCCAGCACTGTCTTCTCCAAATGGCCAGGCTTTATTTAACAAGCCCAGGCGTAACTAACTTGGGTGAGGACCTTCCTCCCTGATCTGTGAACTCTTCCAAGGCCTGAAATGGGATATCTGTGACCCCATTTAAAGGGAACATATCTAATGCAGTTTACATTCAACAGAAGTCAAAGAGATAAAAATAGGGAAATGAGATGCAATTTTTCACCATAGAAATGCAATCACTCTTATAAAACCACATCCCAATGCATTTTAAAACTTCAGTTACGGGAATTCTGGTGTGAAATGTCTTTATAATGCTGGTAATCCTACTCTTCTGTCCAACAGCAGTCTCAGAAGAGGGTGCAGAGACAAGTCCAGAGTCTTGTCTTTGCCCCTGGGTACAGTAATGTTATTTCATGACAATAAGTAGTTTAAAAATACAGAAAAAGGGATCAAGTCAACACACCAAAGCAGTGTCCATTGTCATCAAAGATCAGCTCTCTGGCCCACTCGGACTGGAGCATCTGGAATCCCTTCTCACACTGGATGATGTTTCAGGAAATGCTAGCAAAAGGACACAGTAGAGATTGGGTGAGGATTACATGCCAAAAGCCAGAGCTAGAGTGCTACATCCAGCTCTGAGGTCCCCAGCAGAGGAAAGCCATTGACCTGTTGGAGCAAGTCCAGAGAAGGGCAACTAAGTTGATTAGAGGGATGGAGTACCTCTCCAGTGAGGAAAGGCTGAGAAAATTGTGGTTGTTCAGCCTGGAAAAGAAGACTTTGGGGTGACCTGGTTGTGGCCTTCCAGTAGTTGCAGGGAGATGGCAAGAAAGATAGAGAGGGACTATCTACAAGGTCATGTAGTGACAGGACAAAAGGGAATGGCTTCAAACTGAGAGGGCAGGTTTACATTTGATATCAGGGAAAAATTCCTTACTATGAGAGTGGTGAGGCATTAGAAGAGGTTGCCCAGATGTGGATGCCACATCTCTGGAGTGTTCAAGGACAGGTTGGATGGGGCTTTGAGCAACCTGATCTACTGAAAGGTGTCCCTGCCCACATCAGGAGGGTTGGAACTACATGATCTTTTAGGTTCCTTCCAACCCAGGCCATGATTCTGTGATTCTTTGATAATGGGTTCTCTGAAACCAAAACACTGTTTCTGGTAGACTGGCAGGGTGACTGCATGATCTATGTATATACAAAGGGACTAGTAAAATAAGCACACTTGGCTATCAAAATATTATGCAGTTATCTTCTGCAAAGGGCAGAAATGTTTTTTTTGTTGTTGTTTTTGTAATGACTTCATACCAAAATATTATTACATACATCAAAAAACATCCACAGGTACATGTTATGTTGTGAGTCAGGAGCATGTTAAATGCATTACGTTGTATTTATGAGAAGGAATGTTTTTGTAGAATGTGTGCTAAAGAGATGTTTTCTAATTATACTATGTCTCAAATGAAAAAATAAGGACACACATGATAACTGTAGCTAAATAATTACATCTGTAACATAAACTTAAAAAAGCCCAAAAGTCACAGATAGGACCCAGTTTTCACTGCTGAACCTACTGCTTTCTTGGTTTCCATCTCACCCTTAATGCTATCTAAATGCTGTTTCAGCTTATGAATTGAATTTTCTTTTAATTTGAGCAGATCATATATTCATTTGTCAACACTATCTTCACCAATCAATGCATTATGCCTGGCAGCTTCATCTCATCCTTAAAGATAACCTTGGATTATGTCATGACTTAATTCTGTATTGCCCCTACAGGGATAATGAATTCACATATGTAAGGGGATCATCAACAGTGGGGGTGGGATGCTGTTTTGAACATATCATTTCCATCTGCCACAGGATGATTCCATTTGCAACAATCGATCTCCTGGAGGAGGATTTCTCAGCTATGGTAAGCATATTGTAGGCACTGTGTGGCAGAGTGTGTTGTCTGACAGTAGAGGAAGAAGGAATCATATTACTTCTGCTGTCCCCAGAAAGTCAAGGCTTGGGGTATAGGCTTTCACTTCTTCACACTGAGGCTGGAGAAAGGAGCAAGGATGGGGTAAACAAGCTCTTCCTTCTCATTACAAGGTCAGCTCAGCAGGCCTGAAAGGAGAAACACATTCGTATGTTGGAATGGTACGGTGCAAGCACGAAGTTAATCCACTTCTTAAAAAGTTCAGCCTCAACGGTGACAAATTCTATTAGATGCTGAAGCAGGCACTTCTGTGAGATGACCTCTTTTAAACAGCTTTAGGATTATGCTTAATGGCTCCCAGAATAGGAATGAGCCCATATTTAATGTGTAAATAAAGGTGTGCATTTCATCAACTGTAAACAATAGTAAACACACATATCACAATGAAAAAATATGCACATCAGGCAACTTTACTTTGTGGAATGGAATTTGACAAGACAGAGTGCAGGTGGAAGTGGCGGTCTGAAAAATAAAATCTAGACACGATCCCAGTCTGGGGAAACTGGAATATTTTATTGAACACAAGAACACAATTTAAAGGCATCTGGGGCTGGACATGTTAATGAAGGGGACAACCTCTGTTAATTGGGGAGTTGCACAAATTTTTACTGCAGTTTCCAAATAGTTAATTTTTCTCCTATTAGGATTACATGAGGTATAGAGGCATTACAGGGGTTTAGACATGGTCTGATACAATCATCTCAAAAAGTCCTTTCTGATTTCTGCTGGAGCCAGGCTTAATCCATAAGGTAGAACTTTAACAGGTCTTGTGAGAAGGGTCCAGCTCCTTCAGATCACGAGGTTTTTGTCAGCCCTTGTTTCCCTTTTGCTGGAATCTGGGTTTAGGTTCCCACATGTGGAGGATTAAGAAAGTACTCTGCAGGGGTGCCCAGGGTGACCCAGGAACAGACACACACCAGTTTGATCACTGCAAGCCTTAGCTTGCCACAGGCATCAATCAACGAGGCAAAGTAGATCTTGCATATTACATTAGTTATCATATGCTAGCAAGACCAAATTATGTACAAGGCAAAAAGAATCACAGCAATATTTGAGCAACTTAGGGGTTAGGAGTATTTGCATCCCCTCCCAAAATTTGTGAGAATTGCATCTCTTCCTGTTCCCTGCTTAGTCATGAGAGGCAAAATACAGTGGTGAGTTTGCAAGAGCAGGACAGTATCTCTCTGAGTAGCCTGGAAGCTATTGAGTGGAGTTGTTCAAATTCCAGAGCAGCTGTGTACATATGTAGCTTAAAAGTCACGGGTTAAGTACAGGTCCAAGGAACTCACTGAGTCCTGCTATTTCTATCCTCAGTTCTGTGGAAAGCAAATATTCATTCAGCATGTTTGAAATAAAAAACTTTATTTGCTGTAAAAATGGGCCTCCACAGACTTATAGTCTGTTCCCTTGGTGCAACTGGCATCATACTGGCAGCTCCTCTGTCTACTCCACTCACATCAATTGTAACAGGAGATTCAGGTGCAATCCCAGTTCTGGTGAGATTCACATGTTCATGTAATGTGAGGAGGACAATATATTTCTATTTAATGTAAATTACTGATTATAGTGTGTTTCCATGTACATTTTCCAAGAAACATTCGGTTTTTTGTTTCTCAAGGTCCATCTTTGCTGTCCTATTTTGGTATATTGTGTTTCACTGTCCAGTATGCATTGTGTCACAGTGTAATCCTGTCAAATGTTATTAAGGATAAGCTATTATGGCAATTTGTGTCCTAATGCAGCTTGACAAGATGACATATCCAAAAAAATAAACATGATTCTTGCCAATGCCCACTGGTCATAATGACTTCAGGTGTACCTCCCTTAATTAATCACTAACTAATGATAGCTGCCTGATTAATGTACAGAAACAGGACACAGTTTGGGTACTGTGTATCTATATGACATACTTCAGGCTGGCATACAGACGTACAGAGATATTGCCTGCACACCATGCAGTTCTTATTAGATTATTCTTTTTCTGGTTCTTGCAGGTGGGCAAAAATGCAAATTCGCTGGACAGCTTTTTCTTTTTGAAACATATAAATCAACCTCAGTTCTTTAAAACTGCGTTATTCAAAAGAGTGTTCATAAATCTTGGAGATTTAATTTATTTCTCTAAAGATCTATATTTTATGAAACACTGTTAAATTTGCATCTGAGACCGTTATGGTTTCTATGAAAAGAGAATGGATAACAAATTGAATGAATAGACTCTCATTAAGCATAACATTACTCAACAAGAACCACTCTAAATCAATTAATCATAATGTAACAGGACTCTAATTTTCTGGCATTCTCAAAATCAAAGTAAGGATTTGCATCATTTTTCATCATAGAAAATGTGATTAATTTTGTTTACAGATGATGAGATACATAATTTTAGTTACAGTAATTATGTACTGGCTCCACCTTTTTTTTCTGGGAGCCTCTAAATTGAATACTAAGGTTGTCTAAAGAAGATTGTCTCACAACGTTGCTCTTCCACCTGTTACTCTCCTCCATACACACCTTTCATGACCATGTACGAAAACTATCAGAAAATCCAATTTATATGACATAGCATGATAGTGGAAGACATATCTGTAGTTTAAAATAAGGTTAGGTTCCACTTGCATTGCAGGGAAGTAGCATCATCCCTTCTATTTATCAGACTTCATGTGTGACTGTTATAAATGGACTTTTTATTTGAATATATTATTTTGTTAATCAGTGTGTTCCCCAAGTTGCTTGGTTTAGTCTTGTCTAAACCACCCAAATTCTTGACACCTTGATCTGTCAGCTAACATGACAACAAATTATTCAAGAACAGACAGATAAATTTCCCATGGAACATTAGTCATGGAATTGGAGGGGACCGCCTTGACACCAATGAAAGCATTTTACTCACATTAATTCACCCAGCAATGAATGTTAATTATTAGGATAGGTAGAAAGATGGTTCCTATTTACTGTCACATGGAAATAAATGTTTCTAAAGCCTATTTTGAAGGGAATTTTCTTCATGTTGTTTCACATTTCAATTAAATTAAAATTTTGAAGTGGAAAATAGGGAGTGGAAAGAGTTAAAGAAATAAAACATGAAAGCAATTAATTTCAAATTATATTAAAAACAAACAAACAAACAAACAAAACACAAAAGCCAGTTCTGCTTTTGACTAACCTAACTTATGGCATTCACTGCAATAAATAGAACATAGTGAACAACATAACCCACCAGTTTAAGGAAGTACCAAAAGCAGCTCTGAATCCTCTGATAAAAACATGATTCTAATGCACTAAGCATTTTAAACCCTTGAACTCTGGAAAATTTGGTTAGTGAAGCAGTTTCAATGCAAACCATGCCTGTCTTCCTGAATAAGTGGATCTCTCTATGCCAGCACAGCGATCTCTTCCATTAAAGAGATCAGGCTGTCCCTATTTGGAATTACAGCATAGTTGTAGAGAAAATTGTAGGGACAACGTATCAGTTCCATTATTCAGCGTTTGTATACTTCAGGGAATGTGACTGAAACATTTTTTACTTGTTTAAAGCAATCAGGAAAGACTATTTTTCTAGTCAGGTTAATACAATAATTCAATTTCCATATTTAAATAAAAATATTTTTCTGTCTCTTGCTAACTTTTGTTGACCTCTTCTATTATGGTGTTAGTTGTTTACTTGTTCCAAAACTCTAGTATTCCATTTCCCTTGTACTGTGAATGCGCATGTCCAGGGTCAATATTTGGTGCCTTTCAAGAGGGGATCTCTTACATCACAACCAGTTTCACTGATTATGTGCAATTTACAGAACATAAAGGTCATCCAGACTCTATTAGACTGGGCTATGACTCTATTATTATGAGCACTTATTTCTCTACCTCAAGAAGATAAAAACTAATGTCTTTTAGGCTTGAGAAAGTATGAAAGAAAGGCAGATGTGTACAGTAGGATAAATTAACCTGGGCACTTACAACGCTCTTCCTTCAGCACAAAGATCTTGATTTAGATCTTGAGGTAGATGGCCAATTACTTGCTGAATCAGGGTCAGAATGCTTATGCAGAAACCTTTACTAATTTGGTGGAGCAACAGTTCAGGGGAAATATGTCGCTAGCATTGGTACGTGTATGAAACTTTTAACAAAATGAATAGGGTAATTCCTGTATTTCCGATAGTGGGAGGTACCATGTTTTCATGCCTGTGGTCCACAGGCTATCAGTGGGCTTTTAAAACATTCACACACTTCCCCTCCACCTTTAATATTTCCAAAGCAGGACTGTTTGTGGGGCAGGCAAGTGTGGATATAAAAGGCATAGAGAGATTAGCTGCAGATCATCATCTGCTTGCTGCAGCTCTCAAGCTGTCTTCAAACTGCCAGGTTTGGTGGAAGGGGGAGCTAGGGGATTAAAAAGCCTCCTCACCCTCACTGGTCTCTAACTAGCTCCCATCAGCAGTGATGAGGTCACAATGCTGCTCCACATCACCTCAGTCAGAAAAATTAAAAAAGGAAGGCAGAGGAGACTGGATCAAGTGCAACTCTGACCATCGTTTGGTCAATAGGAGTTTGGTTGCAGAGTCCAAGGAAAATTTCTTCCCTAGAAAGACTGCTTAGATCATGTTCACTGCTCAGCTGATAACTCAGGATCCAGTGGTGTCTTATACTGATTAGCAGAAGATTTAGTTTCACCCTGATTAAAAGAGAGCAGATGAAGAAGGATGCTGAATAATCCTACAGACACTTATCAACTCTTAGGCAAACATTCCTTTTAATCTACTGTGGTGACCAACCCATGTACTCAATTTTGACTCCCTTGACAGTTTTTTTCTGAAGGGCTCTTCTCCATATGTCTCCAAGATTCCTGTTTTTAATAGTGACATTGCCCCAAGTGCAGACAGAAAACAAGCTTGCTGCTGAATCTATATTTATTTTATATATAGAATCTATATTTATTTACTTTTACCATCCAACCAGCTATGTTTTCTTTTGTATTTTTTTAATAAAAATATCCTGTAAATATGTTCTTAGTAATGACTAACTTGATTTTTAGGAATTCAAGTCATAAATTTAAACATTTAAAAAAATCTGTTTTGCTAGTGTAAAATAACTGTGTATTTTATTCCATTTAGTCATATGCAAATGTAATTAAAATATGTAGTGTCTTTCTCTTGATAGGAATATGACTCAGAAATGAGAAGGACCTGGGGGTCCTGGCGGACAGCAAGCTGTCCATGAGCCAGCAATGTGCCCTTGTGGCCAAGAAGGCCCATGGTATCATTGGGTGCATTAGGAAGAGCATCGGGAGCAACTCAAGGGAAATGATCCTGCACGTCTACTCAGCCCTGGTGATTCTGTATCTGGAATGCTGCACCCAGTTCTATACTCCCCAGTACAAGGGAGACAAAGAGGTTCTGGAGCAGGTCCAGCAGAGGGTGACAAAGATGATTAAGGGACTGGAGCATCCCTCTTTCAAGGACAGGCAGAGGGAGTTGGGTCTGTTAAGCTTTGAGAAGAGATGACTGAGAGGAGACTCCATGAATGTCTGTAAGTATCTGGAGGGAGGGTATCAAGAGGATGGATCCAGGGTCTTCTTGGTGATGTCAAGCAATAGGACAAGAGGCAATGGGCAGAAACTGATGCACAAGAAATTCCACCTGAACATGAGAAAGAACTTTATTGTGCATGTAAGTGAGCACTGAAACAGATTGCATAGAGAGTTTGTAGAGTCTCCCTTACTGGAGATGTTCAAGAACCATCTGGATGCAATCCTGTGCATCCTGTAGGATGACCTTATTTGAGCAGGGATGTTGGACCAGATGACCCACTGGGGTCCTTTCCAACCTCACTCATTCTGTGATTCTGTGATTTGCCATTTATGAATAACTGTTCAAAAGATTAACTCATTTCAAGTGTTGAATTTTCTGGGGTTCTTTTCAAGAAGTTGAACTCCAACACAGAATGGCATCCATGTGCGTTTACACATTTCCCATTCCTTAGTGGAACCACTCGCCATGAAAAAGTTGCTGAAATATGTCTGAGCTTATATACATAAGACAACTGCTTTCAAGGGTTCTAAAGGTAAATAGTAGTTTAAAGGAACACTTTATTAGACATAGAACTATTTCTTTGAAAAAGCAACGCACAACATACAAAAGTATGTGGACAGCTGCAATTGATGGAAACTACCAGCCAAACAGTTGTCTGTTCTCGTACAACATTAACATTTACGTAAATCTGGAGACTTTAAAGATTTCTATCAACATGTTCTAGAACATTTTTCTAGAAGTGAGCACATTGATAGATACAAGACTTCATA